CACATCATACATTTACAAAAATTATTCGAGCGTCTGCAAAAATTCAAACTAAGGTTGAATCTGAACAAGTGTACATTTGGTGTCAGGCCAGACAAGCTATTGGGTTTTATTGTAAGTCAGCATAATATTAAGGTAGATCCCAACAAAATGCATGTGCCACCAACTCTTCTGAATATCCTGAGTTCTCCTTGGCCATTTTTGATGTGGGGAATTGATATGATAGGAATGATCGAACCGAAAGCCTCCACCGAACACCAATTCATACTAGTTGCCATTGATTACTTCATCAAGTGGGTGAAAGTTACGTCCTACGCAAATGTGACAAGACAAGTGGTTACTCAGTTCATTAATAAAAATCTTATATGCAAATATAGGGTTCTTAGAAGGATCATTACAGAGAACGAGTCCAATTTGAACAACAAAATGATGAAGGAGTTATGCGATGACTTCAACACCGAGCATCATGATTCCTCACCATATCAACCCAAGATGAACGGGACCATTGGAACTGCCAATAAGAACATCAAGAAAATCATGCAGAATATAGTGAAAACATACAAAGACTGGTATGAGATGCTTCCCTTTGCTCTACACGGCTATCGTACATCCGTACGTACATCAACAGGTGCAACTCCTTTCTCTCTCGTATATGGCATGAAGGCAGTACTCCCTGTTGAAGTAAATATTACGTCACTACGAGTTCTAATAGAAACAAAGCTTGAAGAGTCAGAATGGGTTCAAATGCGACTTGAACAACTTAATCTCATTAAAGAGAAATGCTTGACAGCTCTGTGCCATGGTCAATTATACCAAAAGCGGATGAAGAAAGCATTTAACAAGAAGGTTCATCCTCGAGTGTTCAAATAAAGAGATTTGGTGCTCAAGAAAATTCTACTACCTCGCCTTAATTCATGTGGTAAATGGACACCCGACTACGATGGTCCGTATATGGTAAAGACAACATTCTCGGGTGGTGGTCTTATCCTCATAACAATGGATGGAGAAGAACTGCCACATCCGACAAATTCAAAAGCAATCAAAAATATTATGTATAAAAAGCTCGCTAAGTTCGAACCCTAAATGGGCGAATTAGGCAAAAAGGAGCGTCTCGGTGGATTGAAAATCCTAAAGGGAGATCCAGGCAAAAATTAGGCACATACACAAAAAAATTTATCCCTGTGGATTGAAAACCCGAAAGGGAGATCCAGGAAAAAGTTAGGGATCTTATTCAAAAAATAAAGAACAAAAAGACTGCGATCTAAGAACCACAATTATGATCACGAAGGAGATAGATTGATCTAAATCATTTGACTCATAAGCAAAGGAGATTGGAGCTATCAAAAGAGCATTGGAGAAACAACGGTAGCAATTATCATTTTTCATTGCCATTTCCAATTTCAAAACTTTATGTAATTACCTCTTTTAAGGAATTGCATCTTGTATTCTCGCTTAGTCAGAGGCATATTTATCAATAAAACATTTACTTTTTCAACCATTCAATTGTGTTTATCTTTTTTTCGGGCTTGTTTGCAAATACTACGATTATTTCTTGTTAATACTGCGTTGAAATCATTTTGGGGATTTGACAAGCAAAAAAGCATATGATAAAACATCAAAATAATACTTTGGTTAGAAAAACATTGAAAGAAAATCTATGCCAACATCCACACCTACGTCCACGTCTACATATACGTCCACGCATGCATCCACATCCACAACTACGTCCACACCTGCGCCTATGATATAAATATCAAAATCCTACTAATACCCATTCATCTTGTTCAAATGATAATACCACGACAACGCAACATATAATGTTTGGGGAGTTGGTGACACGAAACTAATGGTTTAAAAGGAGAGAACATTAAAAAAGTCGCAACAAGAATTGGGTGCATATATAAACATTTGGGGCATATACCAACATTTGGTGCATACACGAACATTTAGGGCATATACAAAAGAACTCAGCGCATATACATTTAGGGTTCCATATCTTCTTAGAGCATTATGCACGACATTTTCCGAATACATTGTTGGTTAAAACTTTGAACTTTCTTGGGGGTCATCATTGGATCATCTGGTCCACAAAACAAACAAACACTTTGGTTGAGAACATGAACTACCGGTGAACTCCGATCTTATCTCTGGTCTAGTTATCTAAGATTCGAAAACACTATTCAATAATATACCCTATAGGTCGTGGTAGGTATGTGAATTTTCAGGATTACGTTATTTATCCTCTAGGTCGTGATAAATATGTAAGACTACTCTCATGTCGTTTATCCTCTAGAATGTGATAAACACACAAACTTTTCAATCATCTATCCTCTAGGTTGTGGTAGATGTGCGAATTATCGATTTTATGTTATTCATTCTCTAGATCGTAATGAATATATAAATATTTTCTTGTGTCGTTTATCCTCTAGGTCGTGATAAACACACAAAACTTTTCAATCATCTATCCTTTAGGTCTTGGTAGATGTGCGAATTGTCAGGTTTATGTTATTCATTCTCTAGGCCATAATGGATACATAAGTCTATCTTCGTGTCGTTTATCCTCTAGGTCGTGATAAACGCATAATTTTTTTCAAATATCTATCCCCTAGGTTGTGATAGGTATGCGGATTTTCAGGATTATACTATTCATCCTCTAGGTCGTGATGAATACATAAGCCTATCCTTGTATCGTTTATCCTCTAGGTCGTGATAAATGCACATGCTCATCCTCGTATTGTTTACTCTCTAGGTTGTAGTAAACATAACGAAATCTATGATATAATTCATTATGTTAGTATCTATGAGGCAATGATTATCAAGATCTGTTTTATTCATCCCCTAGGCTGTGATGGATAGACAAAATCCACGTTAAGCTTACTATGTTAGTCTCAAAGTGTTAGTAAGTCGATTTTAAAACTTGTGTTATTTACCTCTTAGGTTATGGTGAATATACAAAGTCTAGGATCCCTTTTCCAGGTATTGGAGAGTTATCTGCGTCTTCATATCTAGGTCAATCTTACCGTTCAATCATACTCTCTGTTCAAACTCTGGTAGGATGATGCATCATCATCTTTGCATATTTTTCCGCACGCTTGGAAATGTTGTACAGTGTATCCTTATAATCTTTGGTCTAAATTTTGGGATCTTCCATTATTTAATAACCCTCAGATCTAAATGCGCGAAACTTTGTATACTCGCACATTTCAATCACAGAGTAATTAAATAGGGGCAGCTGTCATACCTCAAATTTGCCGCCTCGGTGCTACAATCAAAATTATTTTCAAAATTAAGTTATAAAATTATTTTGGTTCGTTTACACTAACATTATTTAGTTTTTATAAATATTTATTTTTAATTATTTTGCTTATTTAAAAATACACATAATAACTTATTTGTATTTTTTTAAATAATAAATATTTACTCGTCTTCATATACTTTCAATTGAGCGTTTATTTCAAATAAGCAACATAACACAATTGGCAAGAATCATAATAAATACCAAAAATATTATTTCTATTTATATTAAAAAAAAATCACAAAAAAACTATTTTTTATTATTTAAGTATTATTTTCGTACTTTTAATTAATGCATTTTAAAAAAAAAATTATTTATTTGATTTAATGCATTTTTTTTTTACCAAAATTGAGTGCAAAAATCATAATAAATACCAAAAATATTTCCTTTTATGTTTAATTGTTTTTTATTGGTCAATCATTGTCAATTTATGTCATACTCATCTTAGGATTGATTAGCTTGGTGACCAAGGAAAATTTGATTTGTCAATTAACTTTATTTTTTAATTCATTAATCTAATTATCGCTATAAATAAGCCACTCTTTCACACTATTTTTCATCCACAATTTCACAATCTCAATCTTTCTCTTATTTTTTGTTTATTTCAGGGTTTCTAAATAGAAACTCTGAGAAACAGATCCAAAAATTTTCAACAACCATTCGACCCTTCCAATCCAACACCCTCAACCGCCGCCTAGCCGCCGTTCACGCCGTCCTCTTCGTACATGTTTGTTTTTTATTTTTTATTTTTATATATATATATTATTATTATTACTAACAAGTATTTTAAGAAAAAATAGATTTTTTCTCGAGAGCCTTAAGACCTATTTCTATTTAGTTCATGTATATAATTCTATCCATTTCTAATCACACCCCTTGTTTTACTTCATCAACTATAATTCACAACCCTTGTGATCTGGGCCTGAATTCAATATCTGAATTCAGGGCCTTGCTTTTTACATCCCCATGATTTACTCAGCCCAAACAAAATACACCCCTCTTGCGTTTTATTTAATTTTTATATTTAATTTTATTTATTTTATATTATAATTAATATTATTAATATTTTTATTCTAATTTGATTATTATAAAATATTTATTGTTTCTAGTAATTCATTCTTTAATCACTTTTTAAAATTGCATTAAAATTATTTTTTGTCATGCATTAAAAAGATTTTTTATATATTAATATATTTAAAAAATACCTAACCAACATCAAATCAAATTTTCTTATTAACTTAATTAAATTCAAGAAAATTTCAAAAAGAATTATGGAGATACTTTTAATCGACTGCGAACTTCGTTTAACAATTTCGCTATTCACATCCCAGACTTGGTTCAAGGAGAATTCGAGATATTTTTATAATCCATAAAAAACACTAACCAAATAACTACGAACTACGAATTGAGACTCTGATTTCTCATAAAAGGATACGTAGGCAAACGACTAAAATCACGACGAGTTCCCCTAATTAAAATTAAAACCTTATTCATAAACCGTAAACATAAACCCTAGTATCCTTGTGAACAAGATAGATGTGGGGTGTCTAACACCTTCCCTTCGTCTAAAACGAGCCAACAACCTAGAATATCTGATCAAATTAGGGTTATCTGTTATATTCCATTGCATAGGATAAAAATTAATGGTGGTGACTCTTATTTTTAAACTGGTTATTACAATGAGAGGCGAGAGGGCTCACACATTATTATGGGGACGACTGACACCCCTCTCTCCCCTCTGTCCTGGATGGACAAACATGTGACTATTATTGGGTATGTTTGTAAGTATCTTACTTCCAGCGAGGCCAAAATAGTTTTCCTCCTAGAGAAGTTTGAGGTCATGGATTCTTGTACAATGATTGAGCTATGGCAGGAAGGTGCTTAATCCCTTGATAAATACCCGAGTAAGCTTAAATACTTTGGTTCTTTCATATGTATCCCTAAGTGGCATGTGACCTTTATGTATTGTTTTATGGGTCAAATGATTAAGATTTCCTTATAGGAGCGGAGGAAGATACATGACAAGATCCAGGCCACGAGTAGTGAGATTAATAGCCCTTAGAGCCATTCTAAGGGCTTTATTGTCAAGGGAAAGAAAAGTTAGGCTGAAGAGTAGCTTCTTGACTCGCCTAATTCTAAAGCCCACAAGGATGTGGGAGATCTTTCTCTAGCTGTTAGGGGTAGAGTTGTTCCACCTACCCTAGAGGAGGCGGGTGCTCGAAACTCCTCAGGCAGCGGGGCTTTGCTAACCTAGTCTTCTTTGTGGACCGAATCTGGTTTTGACGTCATCCAATTAACTGGCTTTCATCTTCATTTCCCTTAGAAGTTCCCTGAGGACTACAAGATCAGTACTAAGCCTTCCTCCAAGCTTACTAACATGAAAAAGAATCACTTGTTGAAGGGGCTTATGTTGGAATGTTTCAACCGAGAAATGTTTCGACCAGGTAGAAATGAGTTAAGGGTGAAGCTCAAGAAATATGAGGAGGGTTACTCCAAAAGCCAGAAGCTGCTGAAGACCCACTCTTAAGGTGCACGCTCATCACCGTTATATCCCTTGGACCTTCGTGTCTCTAGTTCCTGACTTGGAAAATGGTCAGACATTTACACAGTCTCTCAAGCATTAGTCGTGTAAAGATACAATGCTTTTATGAGCCATGCCAAAAGATTGAACTTTTAAGCTTTTAGAATAACTTTTATTTATTAAAGTGACACTCATTTAAAAAAGAGAGGTTGAAACGCTCCATTAATTTTTTAGTTGTGATATCTAATCAATACTACTAATTTTAAAATATTATATTATTTTTGTAAGAGTTAAATATGTTTGTGGTCCTCCTAAATATCTCACATTGCACTTTTAATCCTTCAAAAAAATTTGTTTCAAAGAATGGTCCTCCTAAATTTTTTTACCATACTTTTGGTCCATCATGCAATTTAGCGATATTTTTTTACAACTTAACGACAAAATTAGCGACGGTGTCTACTTAGCGACTGAATTAGCGACGGTGTCTACTTAGCGACTGAATTAGCGACGATTTTAGCAAGAGAGATCAAAATGTGGATGAAAGTTTTTAGAAGGACGAAAAACATATTTAACCCTTTTAATGATAAAAATAAAAACATAACATTTTTTGCCCTTGTATGTTAATCACTCGAAGATTATTTTGATCTCTTAACTTAAAAAAATATCAATATTGATCTCTTAACTCTTCAAAAACGTACTTTGTTAGTCATTTTCATTTAATTAGCGAAAAAAAAAACTCAAAAATTAATTGTTAAATTCGTCACTAATTAAACGAAAATGAGTAACATAACATGTTTTGAGAGTTAAAAAATTAATATAATTTTTTTTTTAATTTAAGGAATTAAAATGAATCTCAAAATTTACATACGAGATCGAAAAAAATATTCGACCAAAATTAAATTAATAATAAATAAAATAAACATTTAAATATTATTGTATATGTGTAAGTGAGGTAAGTCAATCGATATTTGCAAGTGAGCTACTATTGGTCAAGAGATTCAACTTATACAACAACATTTCTTTGTATTTTCAAATAATATATGTAAAAAAAATTATTAATTATTAATTATAATATTTATAAATCAACAACTTAAATATAAAATACTATATTATACATTTAAATCATACTTTCATACATCTAAAATTAATAATTATTCAACAAAAACATATTTATGGTTTATTTGTTCACCGTACCATAAATATTAATAAATAAAAAATATTAATAAATAAAATTGAAAATTATAAAAGAAATAATAAATATTCTTTAAAAATTGACTTTTTATATTAATAATTTTATAATAAAGGAGCATAAAAAGAAAATTGATTTGTTTCTTTTTTATTTCATTTTTTCTTCTTTTATATATGAATGAATTCAATTGATATATCTCAACGTAAAAATATTTTATACAATCAATCGTTTATAAATGTTAGATATTTATAATTTAAAATATTTTACGGTGATAATAGTAACAATTAATTTCTTTATGAATTATATTTATGTCTCTAATTTTAAATTTTGTTTCTTTGTTTTCCTTAAATTTTTAATTCATTATACAATATAAAAAAAGATTAATTGATATAATTTGTTAATATAAATTTTTTATATAATCAATGTATTACAACTATTTAGAGGTATTCAAAATCGAACTAATAGAAAATTGCTAATTGAATCAAACTAAATTAAATTGAAAATTGCAAAAAAACGCATTGATTCGAATGTGTTTGAATATTTTTTAACAAAATTATACAGTTCGATTCGCTTTATTTATATTTTGCAAACTGAACTAACTCAAACCAAACCGTATTATTATAAAATCTTATAAATCATTATATATTTTAAATTATTTTAGAAAAATCAACAAATATTATATGAATATTTTATCGGATTCTTTATATGACATTCATTTTAATTTACCTATTAACCAAAAACAATATTATTATTTATAAATACTAGTATTATGTTTATTTGAAATAAATTTTTCATATATTCATTTTTGTTTTCATTTTTAATTTGTTGATGTTTGAAAGAAAAAGAAAAAAAATTTAATTTACCATAATTTTGTATGTCATTATATATAAAATATTGATAGTAAAAAAGAAAATAAAGTGTTATCAAAATAACATAGTCAGATGCATGTATTTTTACTTATAATTACACAATATAGTATTTTAAATTTATTTAAACATACAATTTCACGTATATTTTACTTTAGACATAAGATAAAATTGTAAGAGACATAAGATCAAATTTATTTAAAATTGTAATTTTAAATTATAAATTTATTTTAAAAGTTCTAAACTTATTTTATGATAATATATAAATTATTAAATACAAAATCATACTGTCCTTTCTATGTGTTGGTATAATAAATAAAAAAATCGAATCAACCAAACTAATTTAAATTGTATTAGTTTAGTTTGTATGATTCGGTTTTATTTTTAAAAATTAATTGAACTAAACTAAATTGCGTACTTTTTTTTGCAATGATTTTAGAATAAAAATTGCTCAAACCAGTCGACGAATAGAATCAAGAAAATTGTTAACATACATTGAATTATTACTATTAGGCAAATTTGGGAGTGAATTGCATATATTGTTTGTAATCAACAATAAAATCTTATAAAAATAATTAGAAAAATATTTTCGTCGAAAAATAATATTATGTGTACTGAATAGCAAACAATTTAGTTTACCTTGAAATATTTTTTAAAAGTCAAACATTTAAAAAAAATTAATATCAATAAAATAGTATAAAAAAAATTGGAGAAAATAGTATTAATTAAAAAAATAAAAAAATAATGAACATTAGGGTAACGCTTGTTCAATTTGTGTTGAGATAGTGAAATTCAGAAATTGTTTCAGTGGTAAAAGGGTTCAGGTCAAATAAAACACAGAATTCAAGACTATTTTATTATTTATTTTCTCCAAAAACCTGCGAATTTCTCCATCATTATATTTAAATCCAATTTCTCTGTCTTGTCTCTCTCATCACATTTTCAGCGGAAAAACCCAAATCGGAGTTTTCTTCTACAGTGAAGTTTCGATTTTGACCTGCGGAATCGCTGAATCCAAGTTCCGTTCAGTTTCGTGTTGGTGTAATGAGAAGAAGAAGTTGCATGGTCTGAGAAGAAGTTTTGCGGAAAAGCTTCTTTATGGCAGCTAATCGCGTTTATGAAGCATGGAAAGGAAGTAATGTAATGTTCGAACCTTTTTGTATATTTTATTTTGTTTTAATTTCTTTGCTGCTTCTCAAAAATTTAGCTTTTATTGCTTGATTATTTGGTTATGGATATGGTCTAGATTTTTATTTTTTGTTAGTTGGGAAAATTTTAAGTGTGATTTGCTTGATATAATGTCATTGTCATTAGCTGATTGGTTTTGATTTCTAATGCTGTTTTTGTTTTTGCTTGAAATTTTGAAGTATGAGTGATGACTTGGAGTAAACTTCAGAATTTTGGAACTGTATGTGATCTGTTTGTTTGCATACCTGGGGAAGTGAGATTATGCGATCATCTGTTTGGAATAGAACAACTGTTCAACCCCATCTTCTGTAATTATTTATTGTGTTGTCTGTTTCTGTGACGAATCCTGACTTTGCTGATAAACTGATAGTGTTGATAGCGGTTCTCTGTAACAGTTGGTTGGAATAACAAATTAATGTCTTTGTTTGGATTGAAACTATCCCTGGTAGATTAATGTTCTTTTGCTGGTTTTCTACTTTCTTAGTTCCAAGCAAAAAAGTGTGAACCGATACACTAGTATTGTGTTGCCTTAGTTAATTTGAAGCATAACTCTCAACCTATGAAACACAGACACCCACACGGACACTAGGATACATCATACATCATGACACGGACACTCTGACACCAATAATGTCAAAAACATAAGACACCAACCCCGCTACATATATGATATTAATTGACTTTTGTTTATGCGTCTATTATTAAAAGAGTTAAAAATATTCTAATCAAAATTAATAACTTCAATTCTTCATTGACAACATTACTTCAATACATATTCAATCCTTTTATATGTGTGTGAGATTTGTTCAATAAATGTATAAGGTGTGTTGAAGCAAAGAGAAAAGTATTTTTTTTGAAACACTTCTCTGAATTGTTTGACACGTATTGTATGAGTGTTATATGAGTGTCAAGACACTGATTCAAAGAGTATCGAAACAAATAAAAACCATTTTCTTGGAGACACTTATCTGACTTTTTTGACACATGTCGTACGAGTGTCATACAAGTGTCGGTCACCGTGACACGCCTATTCTGAGAGGTGTCCGTGCTTCATAGAGTGAACTTTGTGAGCTGTTCTTTCTTGTGGTAATGAGTGATGAATCTATACGGTTTTAACAGTATTTATTTGTTTTACGTAACCATCTGTTCATGGTGCATGTTTACTTTTCACTTATGGAATTAAGAAAGATAATAAGTATCGTGACTCGAGATAGGTAACACTATATATGTTCATGACATGTTTTTGACTGATTTACTATATTAACTTTTGAAATTGTTGATATCTTCTATATATATTATTATAGATTTTTTTCCATTTGAACAAGGAAACTTTAGAAACTAGTTTGTATCAAACCTCGTGATTCAAATCTTAAACTTTTTCTTAACAAAGTCTCAGCATTTTTGTTTACTCGCGCCTTTCGAAATGACCACCATAGTAGGTAAGTGGTTCTCTGAAGCAGCTAGGTTAAATTTTTTAACAAAAATTGACAAGTTTAGCATCAATTAGAAAGCAGGATATTTTGGTTATCACCCTCCCTACTGAATGATGTTGTCAAACCCTGATGCATATCATATCCCTATAGTTCTTCACCTTCTCAGTTGTAAGACATCACGTTAAAACCAACCCCGCACACCCAAATTGGATCACACACACACCCCAGAAAGTAAAGGAAGGATTATAATTGTAATTTAAATAGGGAAATTGTAATTGTAATAATATGGTAAGAATATATAGTTAAAATACGGTAATCTTTCCTCCTTTTTTCCTCAGGTAGTGAATTTCACTTGATAAAGGGTTCTGGTATTCATTCAGGTCAAATTATACACACATTCGTCATTCTTTTTCTTCCTTAGACACTATTTTTTATTTCACTTTTTCCCCTCCTATTTATTACCCTTTAAGAAAACCAAAACATGCAAATATCGAACCCAACAATTGCCTTTATTGAAAAAAATGGGAAGGTTTTTCTTCTGTCTTATGTAACTGTTGTTGTGTTTATTGGTGTGAAGAATATAATATGACAATTTATACCATCTACCTGTTCTATCATTTGTCATGGCTGCAGCTGGTTTTCTACTCCGCCACGTAGTTTTATTTTTAGTAGGGAATTGACGTGTTGAGTTGTTCGGGTGAGATTGTATGCTTTCAGAGTTTTTGTTTGTTCTCTATTGCTGATTTTATGTCTGTATCTGATTATACGTGTTACCGTGGGGTTATTGCGTGAAGCAATATGTTATTCTTGTCTAGGTAGGTCTAAGCTGTAGGCTAATTATGGTGAGTTGCTATGTCTTATAGGAAAAAGATAAATTAAGAGGTATTATTTATCCCCTTTTTCATTGTTCATATTTTCTAATGATGGGTTTTGATTTCTAACACTGTTCTTGTTGCTTGAAAGTTCAAATTGGGAGTGATGTGGGAAAAACTTTGACTTGAGAGTTTAATTTCTGAATTTAGGATCTCAGTGTATGCGTGTGTGTGTGTGTGTGTATATGATCTATGGAACAACTTCAAATGAACACTTTCAAGTTCCAACCATCTTCTGTAACCACTGTCTTGTCTGTTTTTGAGTGGAATCCCAACTTTGGCCCTAAACTGATAGTCTTGATAGCGGTTCTTTGTAAGAGTTGGTTGGATGATAAATTAATTGATACTATCCCTGGTAGATTATTGGACTTCTGCTGGTTTTCTTCTTTCTTTGGTCCAGGCGAAAAATGTTTGAAGCAATACATTAGCCCTGTGTTACCTTAGTTAATTTGAAGCATTAAATTCAACTTGGAGAGCTTCTTTTTCTCATGGACAAATGTGTAATGAAGTTATATTATGTAAACAGTATTTTCTTGTTTTGCTTAACCCTCTGGTCAAGTTGCTTGTTTATTTTTGGCTTATGGATTTAAGAAAGATAATAAATATCATGACTCATGATAGGTCATACTATTTATATGCTGTGGGACTGGGTTATGATTGCTTCAAGGCATCATATATTTCTTATATATTAAGCAAATGAATGTATATTACATTCATAAGCCAGTTCAGCTCATTATATTGTTTCTGTTTAGGTAAAGAGGGTTCCTTATCATCCACTTGGTGTACTCTCTTTTTCAAAGTACTACCTCCGGTCCTATTTATAAGAGACAACTTACTTTTTAGATACATTAAATAATCAATATATATATAGACTATATATGGACCAAATACATTGATTATTCAATGTATCTAAAAGTTAAACTGTCTCTTATAAATTGGACCGGAGGGAGTAATATTTTTTATGAGGAAGTAATGCAATGTTAAATGGAAAATATTAATACTTTTTCGGCTTTTTTTAAGTGCCAGAATATAACAAATATCTTGGAATATCTACCATGCTTTTTAAGTATGTTAAAATATCTTAAGAATTTAAGTATGTTAAAATCAGAATATACTGTGGAGCGAATTGTTTATCTAATTATACAAGCAATATTCACATTGTTAGCAAATTTTATTTATTATGTTTGCTGGTTTGTTACCTTATTTTATTGGGGTTGGTAAATTTATTATTTTATAGGTTTGGGCTTGAAATGATATTTTTTCTATCACATGATCTAATTATTTTTATAAATAGGATCATTCGGTTAATATTCTCGACACGTCATGATAAACCATATGAATCCATTAGTCTCTTGTTACGAATCTCTATTCTCTCTCTTCTGTCCCTATGATTTCAACAAAAAACTATTTTTCCTGTTACTATTTTCCTGTAACGACATACTTCTGTCTTCTGGCAAATTTAAAAAGTTTTACTTTTTAATGAACTATTATCTGTCATATATAGAAGTCTTAACTTATTTCACTTCAAAACTTCTTATTGTCTTATGCAGAAATTCCTGTTTGGAGGAAGGTTGATATTTGGGCCTGACGCAAAGTCACTGCTTATCAGTTTGGTGCTGGTCATAGTTCCAGTTATCATCTTTTGTGTATTTGTAGCAAGGCATCTTCGGCATGAATTTTCTTCATATAATGCAGGATATGCTATTTTGGTGGTGGCAGTTCTATTCAATATTTATGTAAGGTTTATGAAGTTTTTTCTTTCTGTCATTTGATGTTTTAATATGCAGGCATACCTGAAACATACATGTTAATGCTCTAACCTAAGTGTTAATATTTGTTAGTATTTAATGTGGTTAGCTGTGAATATTCTACATTGATTGGAATCTTCTAAATCTAACTATGTGATGATTGTTTGCTACTATAGTATTGTTGATTAGGGTAATTTAACTTTAATAGTTTTAGCTGTTGATTCTTGAAAAGGAAATATGATTTCTTCCTAAAATATATTTGTTCATTATATCAAAACCTCCATGGCCAAACCCCTGGTTTCTCTATCATTCTCCCTTATTTTCACCTTTTTAGCTTTGCGGTAGGACTAGAGCAAGTTCTCCACTAGAGTGGAAATGGTAGCTCCACCTAGTCCCCTAATAACTCATAGTAACTCATAGTAATGACCTGTATTGAGCAAGAACTCAATAACTCATAGTAATGACCAAGTCCCTAATTGTGGCATTTGGCTTGTCTTCATTGCAGGCTCCAACACCTATATTTTGTTGGATTTGAAGGGGTGGATTTTGTCCCACATTGCTTAGAGGTATGACCTGTATAGTGTTTATAAGGCTTGGGCAGTTCTTACCAGTTTTGTAAGGTTGAGCTAGGCTCAACTGCACATTCTAAGATGGGATCAGAGCCTATCGTAGATCCGTTGTTAGGCTTCCCGCGTCGTCCACGCTTCAGGCTTACCGAAGCCCGAGCGTGAGGTGTGTGTGTTGGAATTTCCGCCTTTATTGCGGTCCGTCCCTAGTCGCCTAATTGTGGCATTTGGCTTGCCTTCATTGCAGCCTCCAACACCTATATTCTCTTGGGTTTGAAAGGGTGAATTTTGTCCCACACTGCTTAGATATATGGCCAATATAGTGTTTATAAAGCTTTTGCAACCCTCACCTTGCAAGCTGGTTTTCTAAGGTTGAGTGAGGCCCAACCATACATTCTAAGAATTACTACATGGAGGCTCAAATGATTTTGGGTGTTTGATGGCTGACTGATCTAAGAATGGTGATCCACCTGAGGCACCAATAACAGCTAGGAAACAAAGAACTAAGTTTAGCACTGCTGAAGAAATTAAGGTTTTCTTGGGTCACATACAGTAACACAAACACAATATTGCTTCTAGAGAGGAACAGCTGCAAGTTTTGAGGCTTAAAATCCCAAGAAAAAGTGCCCTTTGAATATGCAACAAGGACACAACTAAGGATTGAAAAGGAGAATAAATGATGACTGTGGCCATAACTGATGCTTAAGAAAGTGAAGACAGCTACCAGAAGCTTAAACAGTGAGATACAACAAATCAAAGGAGTTTCAGAAACTCTTCGGCAGAAAAACATTGTTCTGGTCATGGAGAATAATACAACTTTTGTATGGTATCGAAAGGGAGAATAAGAGAAAACTGTTGTTAGGCTGTACGCTGTTTTTGCTCCTTTTTTATTCACTTACAACATTTAAATAATTATCTAAGCCACTAATCACTAGTCACGAAATCAAAAATCACTAGTTGATTATTCTAAATTAGTTGATGTTAATATATTTGATATGTTTTGATGAACCAGAAAGATTTTGATCTTTATGCATGACTAGTACTCTGTCCTGAGTTATTGTGTGAATCTATTGAATATTTATCTGTTTTTTCTTTCTGGCTCTTTGCCAGTTCATTTTTTCCTGAGTTATTGTGTGAATCTATTGAATATTTATCTGTTTTTTCTTTCTGGCTCTTTGCCAGTTCATTTTTTCCTGAGTTATTGTGTGAATCTATTGAATATTTATCTGTTTTTTCTTTCTGGCTCTTTGCCAGCTCATTTTTTTCCATTCTTTTGCAGTATTTATCCGCTCAATATTTTGTTTCATCATGTTGCTATCTAAATATAACTTTCAACTAGAAGAAATCTTTATTTGGTGAAACAAACTTTAATGTTATTAAAAACCTTTGTTCTGATATTTAGAAGAAATGATACGACTTGAAAAACTTTAAAGCTCACATGTGAGATTCACCAGACGAGGTGTGCTTGCTAACACTTTCCCTGGTTATTCTTTCTAAGATGAGTATCAAATTTGAAGATCTTTCCAATTATTAAGCACCACTATAAGCTTGCTAACACTTTCCCTGGTTATTCCTTCTAAGATGAGTATCAAATTTGAAGATCTTTCCAATAGTTAAGCACCACTATAAATGCAAGGAATGGAAAGAATAAATGAACCTAGAATAAAGGCATAGAGTGTCAGATGCATGCAATTTTATCCTAAGTCAATGGCATAGCAAAAAAGATGTTGCAACTATTAGTACATTTTATTTTTTCAATAATTGCTAATTTACAAAAATAAGATTTTTGCCCTTTTAGTTATATGATTTTCTTTCATTTAACCTACATTCTTAGGAAAATCTCGTTGAGTTATTGTTTTCCTTTAAACCTTTTTTTCCTGATTTCCTTGAGCTTGATACAATTTAACCCAATGATTTATGTTTATAGGTGTTGATACTTCTCTTTTTTACTTCTGCACGCGATCCGGGCATTATTCCAAGGAATTTACATCCGCCGGAGGAAGAGTTCCGTTATGATTCGTCTGTTTCTATTGACATTGGGGGACGGCAGACACCAAGCCTTCAGTTCCCTCGAACAAAGGAGGTAATGGTCAATGGCCTTCCAGTAAGGGTGAAGTATTGCGATACCTGTATGCTGTATCGTCCTCCTCGTTGCTCACATTGTTCCATCTGCAACAATTGTGTTCAACGTTTTGATCATCATTGCCCTTGGGTTGGCCAATGCATTGGACTGGTATGATGATTTTTTCCATATTGTTGTTCTTGGCTTATTATATGTTTGCTTTCTTGTTATTTTACTATTTATTTATATTCGGTTTTTCCAATGTGCAGAGGAACTATCGTTACTTCTTTATGTTTGTTTCTTCGGCAACTCTTCTATGCATCTATGTCTTTTCGATCTCAGCATTTTACATCAAGGTTCTGATGGATCATAATCATGGGACAGTGTGGAAGGCAATGAAAGAATCCCCTGCATCTGTTATACTAATGGCATATTGTTTCGTCGCTCTGTGGTTTGTTGGTGGACTAACTGGCTTTCATTTGTACCTTATTGGTACAAACCAGGTCCGTTGATTTCTTATAGATTTCTGAATCCAATAGAATATTAACGGTTTACCTCTTTATTCATCGAGCTTGCAGAACTCTAGTGCCTAACATTGCAGTAAATGACATTTAGTTGAAGTTTTCTCAAATTGAATTTATTTTGAAACATCTAATGAAAAAATTTCATATGATGGAAAGACAGTAGTGAAGTAGTCACGGACATAGTGCTGAAGTAAGCAATGAAACATTATTGGATTTTTGAGAAGATTTAAAAAAATATATTTGATGTATTTTTCATCCCTCGTGCATTTCCTTTCATCCAAACAAATGGTGCTTTAGGGTTGGTTCTTCTCTATTTTCTTCTTGTTAAGAAATGAGGTTGAGCGTACCTCATTCTTACAAAACCAGCTTGTAGGGTGGAGATTTCTCTCACTTATGAGCACATGTTGAGGTCATATATTGTCCGATATGAGACTCGTAACACACTCCCTCACGCCCAAGACTGCACATGTGGAGTGTGGAAAAAATGGTGAGTGACCCGATAGCAGAGAACTGATAGCAGGTGACCCACCAGATCTTAAACAATGCTCACGATACCATGTTAAGAAATGTGGTTTAGTCTAACTCATTCGTACAAAATTGACTTGTAGGGTGAGGATTGCCGCCAATTATAAACACATGTTTATGCCATAGAAACTATTAACACTTCTTAATCTGAATTCAGAAGATAGTTTAAGCCTAATTCATTTGTTCTCGGATATTTTTATTAAATGGCCAAATTTTGTAGAAAAGATAGGTTCTACATCTACATATGTTATATGATAATACTGGTTGGGTTTTCTTTAAATTTGTTTTGATTCTAAAATGATATTGTGTTTGAAGACCTTCATCCAGGTGATTAATCTTTGTTTTGCAGACCACCTATGAAAACTTTCGGTACAGAGCAGATAGCAGGGTCAATGTTTACAATCGAGGGTGTATAAATAATTTTCTCGAAGTATTTTGTACAAAAGTGCAGCCTTCAAAAAACAATTTTCGAGCTTTTGTTCAAGAGGAGGTACAGAGGCCACCTCCTCAAGTCGTCACCCAGGAACCGGAATCAGATACAGGAGGAGATCATCGTTCTAAGGTTGAAGATGATCTAGACATCGGTGAAGACCTATTGAAGATATCACAGCGCCGGAACATTGAAGGATTTGATGAAGAAATTCGGAGTAGAGGGAGCAACGGACCTTACCATAATACTTCTGAAGGGGATTCAGTTTTGGGCTCAGATCGTCGAGCTCCAACAGTTCGATCTGACGAAAGGCACTCAAGTCGGAGGAGAAGCGAAAGCTGGGAAATTGCGCCAGATGTACTTGCCAATTCGAATGTAACTGAAACTAGAAGCTATGTTTCTTCGCGTCATTGATTTCAGTTTTTTTTTTTTAAATTTTATGTTTGCACAACATATCAACATTAGGTGATATGGTTTACTTATATAATATAAAAAAGTTGGAATAGGAAATATTTTATTAATCAGAGTTTACCATTATAGGAATGTGAATTGAATTGATTGAGGCATTAAGTAGAAAACTTATTTCACCTTTTTTTAGTAATCTTGGCTCTTGTGTAAAATATAGGATTGTGTTTTTTCAAGTTGTGTATTATATTTATACTTTTTCCTTCTACTTAACAATCTTTGCATTGACGGCTCAATAGGCAAAGAGCTGGCTCATACATTGAGAGGTTCCATTGCCGATGTGAGGATATGTTTGGTGGATAATATGTAAATATTTTTGCAAGCGCTCTTGAAATCTTGAGGCATGTCTTGGCCCTGGTGAGTCTCTGTTCGATGTGAGAACATATTCTTTGAATCTTGAGGCATTGTCTTGATTTTGGTGAGTCTTCGTTGACGAACTTGTCTAACTCACCTAAATTTTCTTATGATTTTTTTTTCATTGCATCTTTAATTAACTTTATTCTTTGTAAATAACTTTTTAACCATGTTGAAAAAGTTCTCATCTTACTATGTATTAGGTTTTGTTAAAATTCTATTTTTTCATGCTATTGATGCAATTAGATTTTGTTAAAATTCTTTTATTGACGATATTTTGGTAACAAACAGATATAGGTGTTTTTCTGTTTTAAGTCACAAAATAATCTAATAAAAAATTGGATTTCTTTCACGTGGACCCATTAATTTTCTTACAAATCAAACAAATTAAAAATGACAACTTGTTTTCTCACATTTAATAACTTGTTGCTAAAATTAAAATAACTTGATACATAAAAATAGCAAAGATAAGACATCAATACACCTAAACCAATTATTATGTACTAAAAATACATCCACCAACACAAAATTACTATTTTTTTTTAATAACTATAAAAAAACATCATAAATATAAATTATTCATCATTTCCATGATACCAAAGGACTTAAAATTCTCCGCAACAAAGAAGAAAAAAAAATGAATCCATCAAAACTTTCATCTTTGTTGCTCACACTTTCCTTGATCTTCATTTCCCAAGCATCATGTGCGTTATATGAAGAGGTTTGCAAAGCCGCGGCCGAAGAGAGCGCCCGATGCCTCCAAGTTCTGAAAGACCAGCCACGTATCGCCTTGGCGAAAAATGACATGGAGCTATCCAAACTTGTCGTGGAGTTCGCACTCAAAAAGGGAACCGAAGCTCAGAATTACCTAAAGGAAATGATGAAAACAAACCCTGCACCCGCAATTAAAGATTGCGCGACTACACATTACGACGGGGTTGTTGGATCATTCAGAAGTTCATTAGGTGAATTGAAATCTGATACAGAAACAGCAAACTATGATGCTAAAGCTGCTGGTGATGGTGCTGAAACTTGTGATGTTGCATTGGCTAAGGCAAAGATTAATATTCCTGCCATTTCTGCTCTGAATAAAGAGATAAAGTTGATTAGTAAAATTGCATTTTTAGCAACGGATAGGCTTCCAGAACAATAAACTGTTGCTATATGTATGCATATATTTACATATGTGTATGGTTTGTGTAACGAAAAGAAAATGGCAAATATAAAACAAAAAAGAAAAATATGTCACTTCATCTCTTTGAACCATCATCACCCTTTCTCTTTCATTTCTTAACACTCTTTCCTATTTCTTCTTCCAACTTCTTCTTTAAACCTAAATCTGACTCCTATCTTTTTTGCAAACAACAATCAAAAGTATGGTTCAAATTGAAATCAAGAAGGAGAAAAGGGATACTAATTGGAAGAGGGGAGACGACGGTTGAATCCAGTTGTTTTTCGATGGTGTTCAGTTTCACGGTGGTAGATTTGTGGTGGGGCCAACGCATTTCCGACAATGATTTGGGTGATGGTCGGATTCAAAATGCTTGAAGTGTAACTTTTTCATATTTTTTGCAAGTTTACGTTTCATGTCTACAAGGTTCATCGTTTTACCTTTTTCATTATTTTGATGTATTTATATTTATTTACAGATATTTCATTTTGTCAACAACGGCTATGACGTTTTCGGCGGTTTTACGACGGTGTGCGGTTTTGAGGTAGAATATCTATTGGTGAAAGCACACATTCTTAGATTTCTGATGTTGTATGTTGATTCTATCTTTTTTTCATGTAGTCAAAGTTCATACTTTTTCCCCGGTATAGGTTATGGAAGGGGAATTGGTGGCTATTTGTTAAATATATGATGCAGGACTGAAACCCCAAATGTGGTATGAAGTGAAGATATCCTATCCAACATATGTGTATATTATTTCTAGTTGAAGATCTTTCCTCTATAATATAACATATAATAAATATGTTATAGATATCTGTAATACAGTGGGAGAACTGACTTGGGTGTTTTGTATTTTATCGCAATTGTTACGGATAGCAAGAGTCGTCGCTGACTTTTCTTTTATCTAATAAAAAAAAAGGTGAAAAGAACATGAAAGACTTTTTGAGAATTTTCATGAGTTCGGAAGATAGATTATGAAAAGGGAAGGTGTTAGCACCCTTTTCATCCGTAGTTATCTACGGGCTCTTAGTTGCTAGCTCACTTTGAAATGCTTTGTTCGAAATGTGTTTTGTGATGATTTGAAAGTATTTTTGAAAAGTACATTTGTTTAAGCAAACTTTGTAATGATTCTCGTTTCTATAAGAATGTATATAAAATGTTGACTTTTGAAAAATATTTCATTTTGAAAGTGTTGGTGTGTTTAAAAGATGTTTTAAAATTTTTGTGACCAAGCAACTATGAACATTCTACCTACTCAAAAAGTCTTAGTTCTTTTCCTCCTCTTTTAGATATTTCTATCTTACCATTGATTGATAAGAAGCCATATCATTGAATGTGAAGGAACATGCGTGGATCGCCGTACAATCATAAAAAACAACATTGTAGGATACCTTAGTAATTTGTCGTAAGGGTCTAAGACCGTTTATCGAAAGCAACATCGAAGGGTCATCGAGGGACTACGATCTTGTATTCGAGGGTCATTGCTAAAGTATCCCACATTCGAGGGACATGACTGTTTTATTCAAGGCAATAAGTGTGGGTTATCCTAGAGGTGTAAGTGTGGAAAGTGTATTGATTTCATACATTTTTGTCTTTGAGATTAGGGTTTTCTAACGATTGATTTTATCTTTCCATAAAAACCCTAATTACTAGCAATAATATTGAAAGCGATAAATTGCGGGAATTTAAAGTTCTATGCTATTACATCTTTTTTTTGGAGATAAGGATACAAGTTTATGAATAGGGAATGAGAGCAATACAGTTCTAATTATACTATTATAACCATATTGAATATTGAATAAGAATATCTAAAAATATAAAGATAATGTAAAAATGAAGGAAAATTATTTAAAAAAGAATTTTATGCATTGACACATGCACTTATGCATCAATACATATCACTTCTTGCCCTTGGAAATCAAAACCAACTCAGTATGTATTGATACATAATATTTTGCATCGGCTCATATCTGTTTTGCATCGACACATGCACTTATGGATCGATACATATCATTTCTTGCTCTTGGAAATCAAAACCAACTCAGTATGTATCGATACATAATGGTTTGCATTGACTCATTTCTGTTTTGCATTGTCTCATTCGTGTTTTGCATCGACTCATACACATTTTGTCCCTCTGTAATATGTCTTGATAACAACATGTATTGATCCATACTGCCTTGTATCAAATCATAACCTGTTTTGTACCTAATATGTGTCGACTCATAGAGATATGCATAGACTCATACTGCTGTTTTTTACTTCTAACATTATTCAGTCACATATATAAGTCATTCTCAACACATGGTTAGTGAAAATGAAAAGTAAGCATATAGTAGCTCCAGGGCTATGCTATCTATATTTTATCTTCACAAATGAACCACTAATGATGCTTGTATGAAGAGTTCAAAAGTCAAAAAAACTTACCTTGAAACTGAAATTCATGTTTTGATTTAGAGTTGCTGTATTGTCTTGGAGAAGTCAAGTTGCAAAAGGTTGTTTTTGAGTTTGGAAAATGGTGATAGTGATGTTACAGAAGTTGCTCTTGTCTTTGAACAACTTCTATATGATGTATATGAAGTATTTGGATGGTTTTGTTTGGACAATATTTGCAAGGTTTGAGAGATTTGAAGATTTTTGGTTTCAAAGCTCAGAAGTGGAGGTTTTTATGGACAATTCTGGTTTTTAGAGTATAAGGGAGTTTGAGGATTTTTCAACACACAAGAATCTGGCTGTTTAGCTTGCAAATGACCTCTCTATTTATAGAGAAAATATTTGGGAAGTTGAAGTAATCAGATTTGCAAGATAACAAATTATGGTTTGGTTGGAATGCAAATATCAAATTATGCCAAGTCTTCCATGGTCCCAAGATGAAGTACCAAAATTGCTGGTATAGAGGGGCCACTTTCCATGATTTATGGTGGAGTATAATCAGAAGTAAGCAAGGTATGGGCTCAAGACAAATTTTGTACCAAAAACTTGCTTTTCAAGAATAGCAATGGTGCCTTTATGCCATAAATGGAAAGATCTTTTGGACAATGGCTCAAACACTTGGGTAATAGCTCAAGAGTAGGTGTAAGCATTAAATTATAGCGAGCTTTGCAAGTTATAAGTTCTGTAACATGGGATTATGCAACATGACATAAGGATTTGGTTATGTGTTCATCACAAAATGCCTTGTATTTCAAGAATGGATGCCCAACTTCATGCCTTTGAATCTTCTAGCTCAAGTATGATAAATTCATGCTCTTGGACATTTAGGAAAACTTGAAACATTGTCTATAACTTTCATGTTGAACACCTTGGCTAAATCAAATCGGAACTTGATGAAAATTGGTCAAGAAGTTGAGATAAAAACTGACCAAAACCCGTTGAAAATTTCTCTAAGTGTTTTATGAAAAATGTCATGACTTTAGGAATTTATAACTCAAAATCCAAGAACTTCTATGACTTGATCAGAAAAGAAAAGTTGTATATATCATCAAGATCTACAACTTTCATGTTGAAAGTTTTCTTTGAATCATCTTACATCTTGGTGAAAAATTGGCATGAAGTTATGAAATTATCATGTATGAAAACACTTAGAAAAAATTTCTAAGTCTTGAAAAATTTGAATTTTCAAATTGACTTTTGACTTTCTTGATTTCTTGATGATTAAGCTTCATATCTTTGAATATCTTGATGAAATGTGATCTTTGAAACTCAAATTTGATCAGAAAGTCAAAGTTTGACTTTTGTGTATTAGTTGACTGAATTTCGACTATCAATCAATTGATCTTTGAGAAATGTTTTGAGCCATGAAATTAGGTCCACATGTTATATTTAAATCCTTGAGATTGTTCTTCAAGCCATTAGATCATGTATTAGGTCAAAAGTCCCTGATCAGTCAAATACAATAAAAACCCTAATAATTACCATTTTGCCCTTTTGGTGAATTGAGCATTTTTCTTGGGGAATTGTGATCCAATATTGATCAATTAAAACATATGAATTTAAACGGTTGATATTGGTAAAAAATATTGAAGTTTGATTGTAGGTTGACCACAATTGACTTTTTATCCAATATAGTTGATTTTGGGTCATCTGGCAAATTGACTGAGCAATTTTGAGCTGCAAGACTTGAAACTTGACATGAGCATTCTTGAAGGTCCATAATGATTCATGAAAGTCATTTGAGGCATTAGAAGTCCAATTGTCCTTGTGAAAATCAAAACCCTAATTTGAAGCGTCGGTGTTGAGGAGATGGTTTGACCTAATCAATACTTGTGTAGTTTTGAGCCATTGAAGATCTTTGTGAGAAATTTATTAAGAAATGAGAGGGAAAATTTTGGGGTATAACAATCTCCAACAACTATATCATAAGTAGTGAGTAGAAATGTCGTTGTTCCTGATAGAGTTGTTCCTATTGCTATTTGTTAGAAACAATTTGAATCATGATTGGTTAATACATGATATTGGTAGTTAATGAGTGGTTTTTATGGTTTTTATTTTTACTTTTATGCTTTTCTCAATCTTGTGACTATTTCATGTGATTAACCAGTTCAGTTGATAGAACCGTATTTGAGTGTTCTTCTATGATTTGCAGTAGGATGTAGGATTTAACTGTTATATTGGTTTTAGCAGCATCAACCAACATTGCAAGATGTAATACGATCGACTCAGAAGCATTGCTGGTTATATACAGACAGTGGTTAGTGACTTCACTACTCAAGGGGAAAGGCTGTAGTCCTTGTTGAGCTGGCGCAATTCGACATCTAAACCATATTTGTAATTTTCTGTCTGATTGCTGCTATAATAGTTTATGCAACTTCACTCCAATTCATCGCACTTTAATATATTTAAATTATTGAAAGTTAGTTGTTCACTACATTTTCTTGATTTTTCAATATATTAGTATGAATCATCTTCACTACTTCATCCATTTCAGAAAGTTTTAAAGCCAGTGAAGCTTATAGAACAAAATGGAATGAATGTGTATAGTG